GTTTTATCATTCTAAAACGACCATATAAATATTTATATATAATTAATAGAGATTTAATACGATATAATAATTAAAGGTAATATGATATAAAAATTATTTACCTATTGATGAAAATAAAACCTATATCATATACAGCTTGACGATATTCACACTGAAACTTTTCTTTATTTTTTAATGAGGTTCCCATTGCAGTTTCTAAGAACAATTAAGTAATTTTTTAAAAATCTATTTAATTCAATAATTTTATTTTAATTATTCTTAAAATAAAATATCTCTTTATAATAATAAAAAATGCTTTATTATTAAAACAAATATGAAAAATGATATTTTCTAATTTTAATGATATTTTCTAAAAAAAATTTATTTTAAATTAAACTTTCATTCAACAAAATCTTTCAATATTATAATTATCCAAATAATACATAATGTTTCATAATTTACCACATATCACATTCAATGTGTGCTCGCTAGTGAGTTGCAATAAATTTTTCACGATAATTCCTTCTTCACTCTCCAATGTTTTAATTAAGCGTTCAGCATCCTCTATAAAAATGTCAACAAATTGTCGAAGCACATTAAAATGAAAAGCAGATGTCAATATCTTTCTGCGAACGTGCCACTTATGACCTGCAAGAAATCAACAGAGTATATTTACTTATTTACTTTTGTCCGTTTGTCATTTATAATTTAGCAAAAAAAAATTATTAAAATCTCAAATAAATTTAATAGAAATCAAAAATGTTTTATAATATAATAAATAAAAGAAGAAATAAAATATAATACCTGAACTAGTAAGAAGTCCAGTATTGAACCAAGGCTCTAAGTATTTGTAACCAAAACCTTTTTTAGTAAATTTAGTATTTCCAAGAATTGCCTAGATGACGAAAAGAAAATAATGATTCTTTATTCTCTCACCTACGTAAGTTGACATTTTCGCAAAAAATTCAACAGTATATAATTTTTTCTTATATCATTATTTATCTTATAATTTTCCATTAATATTCTTATAATTTTAATTTTGGAATTAATTATAATTGTAAAAGAACATGGATTTTTTATTTATATTAATTAAGTAAATTGTATATTTTTCGAAATATTATATTTCAAGAATTACTTATATCCAATTTTTTTTCTAATTACCTCAATATCATCCGGATGACAAATAGTAATATATGCCTCCAAGAAAGTCCATATTTTATAAATTGGGTAATATTGTTCATTTAATTGTATCAAAAATTTCCAAAGGTCACCTACAATAAATATAAATCAAATGAACGTTAATAATATTGATTTATATTTATAATATTTATAATATTTTATATTTATCAATGAAATTTAATGAAATCGATAAAATTAAAATTAAAATTAAAGTTAAAATTAAAATTAAAATTAAAATAAAATCAATTTAAAGAAAAATAAAATTTTTCGTCTTACTTGGAGAAAAGTTATGAAAAGTAGGAATATTTCCAAGAATTGGTAATGGCTGAGGTCCTGGTATCAAATTTATCATTTTTCCAAATTTTCCATGATGCAATAAAAAATAATGTAGAGTGGTCAAGAGAAATATAAAGAACAATATTGTGAAAATCATTTTCTTAAAATTTCAATATTCACCGATATTTCAATTTTTTTTTTATACGCTTCTCTTCTTAAATCTGTTAATGATATATAGATACATATAAAATGCGATTATTTTAATAATATTTATTATTCTTTAATTATATATATTTCAAAGTTCATTAACAAATTGCATTCATTCATAAACTGCACTGCATATATTTTTCATTGATGTATTTTTAAAAATATATATTATATTTATTATATATTTATTATATATTTATTATATATACATATTACATTTTATACTTATTGCTAAAATACTATTCTAAATATCTCTTATTTAAGTCTCTTATTTTCTTTATTAAAAAAATAAAAACATAAAAATATAAAACATCAATTGCTAAATTACAAATATTGGCATTAATTACAATTAGATTATAACAAAAATAAAATATTTAGTAATATGCGGTTCGCTAAATTTATCAATAATATCAGTTGTATGAAATAAAAAAATATGATTAAGTATATTCTGTAAGTTTTTATACACTCAAATTTTGCACAAATATTCTATTTATCAAATAAAATTATTTGTGTCTATTATTTTCTTTCTTTTAAAATTCTTTACGCAAAATATGCAAAATATAATATTTATAAGTATTTTTAAAAATCTTTAAAAATAAGTTTATAAGATTTATTTTAAAATTAATATTTAATATAATAATATAATATTAATAAAAATGATACATAATTATGTACTGTTTTTCAAATTTATATTGAAATCTGTGAATCAAAATAATATATTCAATTACTTACTCTTTTTCTTTTAATACAATAGTAATTTTGGATTTAAGATTGAAGTTTTAAGGAAAGGGTCAGACTAAAGGAATTGCTTGTCACTTACTGCAAAGCAAATCAATCTTAAATGAAAATGGTATGCAACTATTCCCACCACATCGAATCTATCTGAGAAGATATGTTATTGTCGGATTTCTCGTATGGCATTGATTTTTAACCAATGTAAATTTGGCTTACGATATTGGAAAGCAAACTTGATAATAGAATGCAAATGAATGCAAGTTTGGATTACGATTATGAATTACAAAAAATGAATTATAAAAAATGTATAAAAATCAGAATATCAGTAAAGAAAAAAATATGATAAATTAATCACAAATTATTTATTTTAACGAAATCATTATTATATTTAAATATAATATAATATATTATAAAAAACTGTTGTCCACTTTTATATTATTTTATATCTATTTATTTATATTTTGTACATTATAAATAAAACTTTATAAAAAATTTAAAAAATTAAGAGATATTTTTTCTCTCAAAATATAATTAATTTTAATCATATGATGTTGATTTTTTAAATTGAATCAAAATAAATCAATTTTTTATTTTTTTTAACTTTTTATTCAATATAATATATTTTTTTTCAATTATATATATAATTATCAATATTTTATATTATTATCAATGTATAAGTATTGTCAATAATATAAGTTAAAAAATAATTATAATTATGAAAATTTAATAAAAACTTTTCTAATAAATATTAATATTAATATAAATATTAATAATATTAATAATTATAATTTATATAAATATAATTGAAAATAGAATATATTTAAATGATCTTTAAATAAAGTAATGTTTCTTTATTTGCGTTTTAAATATTTAAAATATCAAATTTATTATCTATATTTATTTGAATTTCAAATATAGTCAAGTATTTTCAGAAAAGCATAATAAATAAAACGTAGTAAATAAAGATATAATATCATTTATTATTTTTGATTTTATTTTAATTTATAAAGATTACATTAATGTGTATCTTTATATATATTATACAAATATTATCATTATAAGTTTTAATAATTTAATCAAATTATATATTTTTCTTTATTATTATCATTATTATTACTATCATTACCAATTATATTCCTATACAATAATATATGTATATTATTTAAGCTATAATGATTACAGAAATCTATTTATTCCTACAATAAAGAATAAAAAAATTGATGTAATATCTATTTTTTATTCGTGTGATTATGATTTTTCTGCAAATGTTTCAAATTATAATGTATATGGATAAATATATATTTTACTTATTTATTAATCTTAAAACTAATCATAATAGAATATATTTATATAATTATATATAATTATATATATATCCTTTCGGTTTCTTTATGTATTTCTTATGACGTTTTTATTAACAATATCAACATTTATCAGCATATTCTTTTACATTAGATTCATAATATCAATAATACATATATTTTCAACAATAACTACATACATTTTTATATTTTATCATATAATTTATTTCTAATATATAAAATTATATTTGTAAAATCATTTTTATTGATTAAGTAAAATCTATTTAGATATATATATATGTATGTGCATTTGTATTTCATATCCACGTCTTTATTTTTTTACGATTTATATCTTTTTCGATTTATGACTGTTGTTTTAAAATTGAAATGTAAATGTGGAAACAACCGTATTTCATAATAATTAATACGCCATCCAAATCAAATTAGATAATTATTTGTTAATAAATTATTCATAACTGTATAACAAATTTTATTTATATAAATAGAATTTAAATAAATTAGTATATAATTATTGTAATAAATTATTGTATATATTTTAAATTTAAATAAATAATTTTATTATTATGGATAAAATTATTTGTTTAAATTTGAAATAGTACTTTATATGCACTTAATATATTTTATAATAAAATATTTGTTTTACTTCTCTTACTTATTTTTATTTTAATTGAAATTAGTTTTTTTATTAGTTTTTAATTATAAATATATAGCTTTAATAGTTTTATTCCAATCGAACGTTACAATTTTATTCTAATGCTGAATCGGTAATGAAGAATGATACAAAAATGATAAAAGAATTTTGTCAGTAACGAAATCTATTTTATCCTGTATGGATAATAATAAAAATGATATTAAAATGATAACATATTTTCAAGTTCTCAAAATGTAAAACAATTAATATTATTAATAAATAATTTTTCTATTTTCTATTAATCAACTTATCTAGTTTTATTAGATTTATCAATCTATTTTATATTTTGAATTAAATAATTAAATAAAAAATATATATAATAAAATATATATTGTTTCATAAATTATTATGATAATAAATTTTAATATCTATTTAATATTATATTATTGAAATATTTTTTATTACGATTATGATTTAGCTCAACATGAAGACTGTTCAAATATAAACAAATTTAATAATTTTAAAATTTAATAATAGCAAAAAGTAAAGCTGAAAATGAACGAAAAAATATTTTTTAAAAAATGTATCAATTAGTATATACTTTATTCTCTTTTATTTGTTAATTTCTATTTCATGTATTTTTAATTTTAAATTCATGATATGATATCGCACGCGCAGTTCCATTTAAGTGGTGAAACGACAGGATTCTAAGAAGTTAATTTTCCTTGACTTCTATTACTTGCTCAGTTGAAATACATAAATAGTGAGATAAGATAATATTAAGATAAAATAATAATAGAATCTTTGTTTAATTATCTATGAAAATTGTTAAAATCGGTTATAAAAAGAACTTGACATGTTCATCATAATTTGAAATACATAAAAAATACATAAATTTCATAAAAAAATTCGTAAAACCATCGCATTATAAATAATTATCTGTAGCAATTATTCTATTATATCAATAGACAAATGGATATTAATATTAATTGAGAATTAATAAAACACGATATATATGCCACGTAAACGAAGAAAAAAACTAAAGACATGAAAAAATCATGATAGAAATACGCAACCTACGATAAAGTAATCAATTTATTGAATTTCTATATTTAAGTGTATAAACAATGGCACCCACCAGAGACAAATGTGTGAGACGTTTTATTATTCCAGAAACGACAAGGCATAAAAAAGGATTTACTATTTACAAAGTCACATCTGTGGTATGCAGTGCAAATATAATATATAAAATAAAATAGTTTAATAATCAATTTTTCTGTGGATTTAAAATATTATAATAATAAAATATTATAATAATATTAAATATTAATTTTTATAATATTCACTTTAATAATTTGATTCTTATTATATGAAAATAATATTTTAAATATTAAGTTATAAATATATGTACTTTTTTAGGTATTTTTAAAAAATTCTTATGAAGAAATTTCTAAAGTGTCTGTATGGAAACGTTATAATGATTTCAAAAAACTTCATTTAGAATTAAATGTACTATATTCACAATCTCGAATTAAAGAAAGTTTTCCATCATTTCCAAAACCAAAATTTTTTGGTAGATTTGAAGCTGATGTTATTGAAGAAAGAAGAGAATGTGCATTAAAATTTTTAGAATTTATAGGAAGACATTCATATTTATATTCTAGTGATATTTTCATAAAATTTTTTGAAACTAGTCATGCTGATTATTATTTAAATGATTATTCTCAGTCTATTAGTTCTGATACATCAACAGAAGAAGATCTTCATTCTTATGCAAATTCTCTATCTAATAATGATGTTGTTCCTCAAAGTATTTCTCAAATCAAAAATATTCAAACATCATTTACAAATTCATCTATTTCTAAAAATGAAGTAAATCAATCTCAAGGTGCATCTGATTCTAAAGAACAAATTTTACCACAAAATAATTTAAGATACAAAACTGAAAATGAAAAGATATCCATGACAAAAAGTATACATAATAAATTGTTAATAGAAAACAATGATTCAAGTAAAATTGTTTCTAAATTAGAGGATACCCAATTAATTTCTAACAAAAATAATAATTGTTATAAGAATTATTATATTAAGAAGGAGAATGATTCTGTAATTTTAGCATCAAACACTAAAACAAATACCACTGTTGAAGATATAAATTCTTCACTAAATACTCATGATGGTTCTGATTTACCACAATCATTGACAGATTCGCCACAATATATTCTAATTGCAGCTGCACATATGAGTGCAGCTATTAAACATGAAGATCTTACTGAATATGAAGAAGCATTTACTCAATATAAAATGGGAATCTCTAGTCTTCGATCTGGAGTTGAATCTGATTCAAATAAAATAAGAGCAGAAATAATTAAGGAAAAAATATCAAAATATTTAGTACGTGCTGAAAAGCTTTATAATAGATATCTTAATTGCAATATCTCAGTGTTGAATAAACCTATAGCAGAACTTCAATATTATAAAGTATTAAAAATTATAGAATCAGTAATGCTTGTAAGAGATATTCGTCAAAACTGCCTCAATATTGTAAAAGTATAAATAATTTGAATATTTTATAGTAAAAAATAATTAAAGCAAAAATATGGAATACAAAAATTATTTAAAAATTCTTTTAATGATTTCAGGCTATAGAAAAATTATCTTCAAACAAAGAAAATATAAGTAATTATATATTACGTGGTGAAATACCATACATGGTCCGTTTACATGCATGTATTGAAACAGACACGCGTATATTTCTAATTTTACAACATTTAGGGTAAATATTATAAAAATAATATTATTGTCATTTTTATTATTTAATCGTAAAATCTATTTTGTAATCGCTAAAATCTAATTGTTTGAATTACATTATAGCCGTGGAAAATTATGGGATTTTATAACATCACATTATAATTCTATTAGTAATAAAAATTATGACAAAATAACTACAGAAAAAGACATTAAAAAAGTAAGTGATGATAGTAATATCAGATTACATAAAAGCGATATAAATGAAATTGAAGATGAAATTGAAAATTTAAATCTTAGTACAAATGCTAAAGTACAAATGGAAATATATCCAATAATGGTAGAAAAAAATTATGAAAAATATACCAATGTATCTACTACACAATTATTAGAAAAGGCGCAAATACTATTACAATCAGTTAATGCAACTTTAAAAGAAAGTAATTCTGTTGCCAATCGATTATGCGAATCTGATCGCTTGATAAATCATCAAGATAATACTTCGTTATTAAATTTTAAAAATATATGTCAACCAAAACATTATGATGAAATGTCAATAAATGTTAATGATATATTATTAGAAAATGACGATACAGATAAAACTATCACAAACGAAAAAATACCTGAGAAGAATGTGATAACATCTAATTATTTATCACAAAATATTACAAATATAAAGAGTCAATATAGCAGCACTAATTCATCATTAAACAATAGTTATAAAAATCTTAATTTCGAAAAAAAAGAATCCATAAATTCTTCGATAGATAGTTTAAAAACAAATAATACATATTTTGCATTAGAAAATAAATTGATAGATATTCGTAATCAAGTGGAAATAAATAATTATTGCATATCAAATAATCAACAATTAAAATATAATACAATTTTAATGGTATCAACAAAAAACAACAATATGGATATTGAACAAGAATATTGGACAATACCAGAAAATGTAATTCGTCTTTGGACTGCTGAAATACTTTTAGCTCTAGAAGCTTTACATCAACAAGATGTTATTGTTTTTGATTTAAAACCTGATAATGTATTACTTGATGATAACGGGCACGTGCAATTAACATATATTGTACCTCGCCATGATATAAATTTATTAAAATATAAATATCCATATTCATCTCCTGAATTATGCACATTTTCAGCTATGACTCCTCTTACTCCAGCTACAGATATCTGGAGTTTCGGCATTATATTATACGAATTAATAGTAGGCAATGTATGCATAGATAAAAATAAAACTGTTTTAAATATATGGCATAAAATAGATTATATAATTATATAATATATTATATAATTACTTTATCTTGCAGAAATTTGAAGCAAAACATCCAGGTTCATTTCAATCGCATTCCATAGTTAACATTCCTAGTAAGCTTTCTGAAAATGCAAAATCTTTGCTTCTTAATGTAAGTTTTTATATTGTTCTAAATCTTTGAATCTAAAAAATTTCTTCTTATTTAAAATATAGAATTTTTGCAAAATTTACAAATTTACAGATACTAAAATATGAACCAAATGAAAGGATGACAATACCCGAAATAAAACAACATCCATTTTTTAAAGATATTAATTGGTCAAATTTGGTAACTACACTCTAAAGTTATAAGAACTTTGTTCTTATTAAATTTTTAAAAAATATATCATTGATATCAAAAAAATTCTGAACTGAAATGGATTCCTAAGACAAAAAATTTTTTTTATGTAGGAAATATTGTTCTTTTTGAACAATATTTTGTAAAGCATAAACCTAAAATTATTGTAGATAATAAATGTTTAAATATTAATAAATAAACAAAATCTGTTATATTGTATAATGTATTTTATAAATATTTTAATATATATAATATGTAGATATAATTACTTATAAAAATATTAAATTATATATCTCTATACTTTTTTATATAGGAATCCAATTTTTTATTAAGGAATCCAATGTTTGGAATTTTTTAATCATGAAGGCATTTCATATACATACTTAATATATATATACTTAAAATATAATTTATAAAAAGTATTCTAATCTATTGTACAGGAATATTATTTAAAAAATATTATCAAATATAAAATCGTCTATCATAGATAAAATATCTTAATTTATTTATATACATAATAGATTGTAGATTGAGTATGAAATTGAGATTGTAGTATGTAGATTAAGAAGTATGATACACTTATTTACTTACTTCTTATTTTTTCACTTCTAGATACTGTTGACATTCCATCAACAAATCTAGTTGTAAATACTACATTAGCATTGTTGAACATTCCATCCTTTAATGATACAACAATAAATTGTGAATGTTTAAAGTGTTTTTTTAACATTATACCAATATTCTCAGTATGAGAGAGATCTAATGCAGCATCAACTTCGTCCAAAATATAAAGTGGAGCAGGTTTAAATAAAAGCATAGCCAAGATTAAAGACAAAGCAACTAAAGATCTTTGTCCCCCTGATAATTCTCCTAACGATTCTTTCCAAATACCAGAAAATGCAATTTTTACTTCTAATCCTTCTGTAACTGTTTGATTTTCACAAGGTTGTAACTTTGCATCAGCTCCTGGTAATAAACTACTAAAAATTGACCCAAAATCCTTATTACCTAAAAATTAATATTAAATTAATATAATAATTATATAATATAAATTTAATATTTCAATTTAATTTAAATATTAAATAGTAATACTTGTTCCCAAGCTTTCAGTAATGTTTCTCTCTTTTTTTCATCTAAATGCTTAATTGTCTCTAATATTTTTGTTTTATCATTTTCAACTATTTTCTTTTTTTTCATCATTTCATTAAATTGTTCTTCTTCTTTGTCAAGAAGACTAATAGCACGTGTATTAATACTTCGACTGAGTTTTTCACGCATCGATTGTAATTGTTGTACTTTTTGTTCCATTTCTTTAGGTTTATTAACATTAAAATCGTAAATACCACCTAATAAAATATATTTTATAAATATATATAAAATAAATTTAATATATAATTCAAAGTTACAAAAAATAAATGTTACCTGTTTTTCCAAAATAAATTTTATCCTGTTCAATCCATTCATATTTTTGAATAAGTTCAGAAACATTTTCTTTATAATTTTTAACAATATTTTTAATTGAATTAATTTCATGATTTAATTTTTTAATATCCAATTCTGCTTCTTTATTTTGCTTTATAATATCTTCTTTTCGTGTCATAAGCTTCCGCAAATAAGCATTTTGTTTATTAATATTATCTTTTTGTGCTTTTATATCAGATTGTATATGTTTTACATTAACTTTTACTTCATTTAGTTCTTGTTCTAATTCATTTGCTTTTTCTTGTAATATATTTAACTTTTCCTCAGATGTTATTAACTGTTCTTTTCCAATTTCGATACTTTTTTGTAATTCTTTTATTTCCAACTCAAGCATATCTGCTTCTTGTTCCCGTTTTTGCCATTCTTTACGACTGTTTTCAGCTTTTGTTTTTAATCTTTCTAATTCAGATTTAGCATTTTTCAACTGTTTTTCACGAATATTAGTAGCATCTTTCAATTGATGTTCTAATTCTTGAGCATGTATAGTACTTTCCTTTTCATTTTTTTCTACTACTGTTATTGTTTGTAAAAGTTGTTCAATATTTTTTTCTAATGAATCTATCTGTAAAAAATTTATATTATACATTTATATTGTTATATATATTATATACATATTATATATATTATTATATTAATTATATTTTTCTAAATTAATTTTTCAAATCATTTATATCATATCATATTTATTATCTATATATACCTCCTCTTTTATTTTATAATATTCTGTTTGTTCTAATTTTTGTTTCACCATACTAATTTCATAATTTCGTAAGTCAAATGTTTGTTTTAATGAAATATATTTTTCAGCAATATTGTTTACATTCATTAATGTTGTCTCAATATTTTGAAGAGTCTCTTGTTTAATATTTAATTTATTTTGTATATCTTTTAATTCATCTAACTTTAAAAGAACTGATCCAGTTTTTAATGGTGCACCACCAGATAAAATACCAGCAGGATCAACAACATCTCCTTCTAAAGTGACACATTTTTTCATTATGTTATCATGAAATGCTATTTTTTTAGCAATTTCAATATCTTTACAAATAAAAATTTGTCCAAAAATCCATGTCATAGCAGATCTAGTTTCTTCTGGAAAATCTATGAGTGACAAAGCTGGTCGAACATTTTCTATACCACCTATTTTCTGTGCCAAATGAATTAATTGATTATCCATAGGTTTGCCTCCTACTTTATTTAAAGGAATAATAGTTACACGTTTTTGTAATTGACCATGTTGAAGTATTTTCTTACTAGTCATTTCTGTATCTACTACTATATTATATAACTGAAAGATTAAGGATTGAATATTAAATTTGAAATATATAGATTAACAGTGTTATTTAAAAAATAAATGTTATAAAAAATCAAAATACCTTTCCTCCTGCAGCAATGTCCAATGCATATGCTGCATTTTTATCTTTAACTGTGATTAATTTACATACAACTCCTTTTACCGAATTATGATTAAAATTAGAATCAGGCTTTTGATATTCAAATCTAATTTGAGGATATTTTGATTCAAAATGATCTATTTCTTCTTCTAATTTTAATATTTCATTTCTTAATTTACATTTTTGTTCTTTAAGTTCTTCCATATATCCATCTTTGTAATTTAATTTTTTTAATTCATTTTCTAAATTTTTTATTTCTTTTTCTTTATTTTCAAGATCTTTAGTATATTTTTTGTATTCATCTCCAGTGTTTTTTAATTCTATTTTTTTTCTTTTCAATTGCTCTCTATTATGATTTAATGTCATTTCACATTGTTTACGTTGCGTTTGTGCTTCTGATAAACTCTGCTTAGTATTTATTAATTGCTGTTCCAATGTTGCATTTTCACCATCTTGATTTTCTAATAAGCCAGAACTAATTTTTTGATATTTTTCTTGTGCAAGTAATACTGCTTTACAATCCTGTTCATCTGTCTCTTTTAACATTTTAAAAAGATCTTCAACTTTAGCATATTCTTTTTGTTTTGCTACAAAAATATTTTCATCATCAGCTATATTAATTTTTAATTGTTCTATTGCTTTTATAGCAGCTTTAATATTTTCTTCATTGCTATTAAATTCAGCTGTTAATTTACATTGTTTTTTTTCTGTTTCTTTTAATTCATTATCCAAAGTTTCTAATTGAGCTCCTGTTTCCTACATTAAACAAATAAAAAAAAAGAATATTTTAATTATATTAAAAAATATATATATAAAAATATTTTTTAATAATTTAATAATTTAATAATTTAATATATTAATAATTAATATATTTTTATATTTATAATATTTTTGTTATATAATTAAAATACATACTACATCCCTTTTTTTAGCAATTTCATCATATTCTTTTTCTATATTTTTAAGCTCCTCTTCACCATCATTAATGCTTTTTATTTTTTCTTCTATTTTATTTTTAACAATTTGAGCATTTTCTTCTGCATTCTGACTTTCATTTAAAGCTGTGACATATCTCCATGCTAGACAAATTCTTTTACAATGTTCTAATTCTCTTTCTATACGTTGAAATTCAACATATTGTATTTTTTCTTCTTTAAGTTTTGATAATCTTGGACCAATTTCATTTTTCAAAATCTGAAATTTATTTAGTTTTAATTAAATTGTATAATAATAAATTACAAAAAATTTAAAAATTGAATCATACATCACTTATTTCTTTTAATTTACTATCTTTCTTTTCTATAGTTTTTAAAGCAGCTTCTTTTTTACTTTCATACATTCGAGTACCTGCAGCTTCTTCTATCATTGATAAAATTTCCATGGGTTTCATATTTAAAACTTTTGTAATTCTTCCTTGCATTATCAAAAAATGTGGATTATTTACATTTAATTGAACAGAACAAAACATATCTTGGACACGTTTATTTTGTACATTAGATCCATTGATCAGATATTTATTTTTACCACCAATCACAACTTGTCTTGTAACTATTATCTCTTCATGATGTTCATATCCCATAGGAGATGAATCTCTATCTCTATTGTCAAATGTTATAGTAACACTAGCTTTTTTTACACCTGCTTGACCAGATTTATAAACTAAATCTTGTAATGATGTTGCACGTACCTTAAAATATAAAAAATATTTTTTTCTTCTTAAATTGTTTTTGTTATTCTGTTTTGATACAAATTTTATATTTAATGCTTAAATAATATTAAATATATTTATTATATATTTTCATATAATTCATTTCATACTATCAATGAAAATATAATTGTTTTAAAAAAATAAAAATATTGGAATTTTTGCAATTATAATATTATGTTAATAAAAATATGTAAAAAATAATATACCTGTCCAAGGTTTGATATACCTAAAACAAAACATATTGCATCAAGAATATTTGATTTCCCACTACCATTAAATCCTGTGATTGCGTTGAATTCTTTATTGAAATCATTTATTTCGATTCTTTTTCCGTATGATTTAAATCCTTCTAATACCATAGATTTTATATACATTATGAAATTAAATAAATAGAATTGAAAATATTATTTTAATTACACTTAAGCTGATAAACAAAACTGCAAATTCAAATCGTGAAGAATGACCGGTATGTTTATATACTTATTTGGGCAGATATACAATGAAAATACTAACGATTTTATTTTTTTCTATATAAGTTCCAAAATTCATTAAAAAAATTTTATATAAATTTTTTATGAAATATTAAACTATTAATATTATTGTTTTTGATATTTTAAAATAATGCGAATATATATAAAAATATAAAATTGAAATATTCCTAAAGAATTTCTAGTAAAATATCATTTTGCGATCTAGTGATATTTTAAGATGTCTTTTCTAACATCTTGTATTATATATTAAACTAGCATCTCAATTTATTTATATTTTGATTCCAAAATATTTTAAAATAAAGTTAAAAGTTCTATTTATTTTTAAAACGCAATAATATAAAAGGTAAAAATTATATAAAAAAAAATTATTTTTTTTAATATCAATATAAAATATTGCGAGACTTCATTGAAATTAAAAATAAAGCAAATATTTATATTGTATTAGATAGATATAATATAAGATTATAACATAAATATAAATTTAATAAATTATAAAAATTATATTATATGAAATAAAGTAATTTATTTAGTCAGTTAGTAATTGATTAATAATTGATAATTTTTAATAAGTTACTATCATATAATACATTTTTTTTTTTACAAATTATTATGTTATTAGGATCACTATGAATATTCCTCCGATTCAACAACCAGGAACAATTGGTGTAGGACAAATGACACAGTCTGTAAATGCTCAACTTCCTCAAAACCCACAACAAACACAACAGACACAGGTTCAACAGCAACAGCAACAACAACAGCAACAACAAACTCAAGAAAAACTTGATAATATTTCTAAAGTTAAATCATTAATTGTATCATTAAGAGATTCATTGGCCATAGCTCTTAAAACTGCAGCACATACATTACATCAAAATAGTTTAGTAGATGTTGGATCTTTGAAAGGTGGTATTGATCAACCAGATCATAGATTCAATAAAAATATAGAGGAATTTTATTCTATTTGTGACCAAATAGAATTACATTTAAAAACTTCTATAGAATGTACATCGCAAAATTCTAGTTCTCTAAGATATCTTCCAGTACCTGTAATGCCACAACGTACTGATACTGTTGGTACTCAAGAAGCTTTAACATATCCTCAATTTTTAATGACTGTAAGAGCTCAAGTTGCATATGCTCGTGAAGTTCATGATACTTTAGTTTCTGCTGCACAATCAATAGCATCAGGCGAATAAATTTCATTTTAACAAGAAACTTATGAAAAAGGTTGTGACAAAATATATAATAATATTTAATTATTAATTTATATACTGTACCTTTAATTTTTATATACTTTATCTTCTGTATAATGTAATAATATATTAAAATACATTATAGTATTTTATTAAAAATCTAATATCTTTATCTTGTATATGTGAATTTTTATTTCAAAATAATATTTTTATGTTTTAATTCAAAATAATGTATATAATTGTAAAAAGTTTCTTATTATATATTAAAAATTAAAATATGTATATGAATTTAACAAAATTATATTATTTTGAATATTGCTTTTTGTATTTATGATTTTATATTAATAATAAAATTATAAATAAAATATTAATGATTAATAATAAAAAGAGATATATATATTATTTCTTTATGAATCAGATTTAAAAAGAATGCAACAAATTAGTAATAATCTATATATATGAATTGTTAATTTTTATAATGTACATGTTTACAATTATAAATGGCTTTTATATAAAATAAAAGAATATATATAATTAAATTTGAATTTTTCTTCTCAGAGTAGTATTCAATTTTATAATATTTCTAAAATTAATTAAAATTTTCAATAAATATATAATTTTGAATACAAATGTTAAAACATGATTTATATAATAATATTAACTAGAAATTTATTAAAATAAATTTATTAAAATATATTAAAATTAAATTATCTAAATTATAATTAATATTACAATAGTAATTATAATATTTAAATAATACTTCAATATAAGACAGTTAAACATTTTATGTCTTACAAAAAGAATTAACGTTTTCATTGTTGTTAATTCTTGATCATATTATAAACAAAAAATAAAAAATTGATCTATGTAAACAAATGTTGATGAAAGTATGAAAATTTCAAAATACTTTATAAGAAATAGCGAATCAAGACAGAATTGCTTATCAGCCGTATGTTCAGTAAGCACATAGAAATAGGAAGGACATACCGGTAAAAGAAAGGTGGGGGAGGGGAGAGGCGTGCAGGAAACGCTACTGTCAGTTGGATTGGTGTTTTGTCCCGGCGCGCCGAGTGATCATTTGAAAAGGAAGGACCACCTCTGTTCACCATATTTGGCAAACTTTCCCTAATATGGTAACGTCTACTTCTAAATATGGCAGCCGGGGACGCCCTCTCGTTGATTCTTGTACCACTCCGCGCAATCTTTTTGCCGTAAATTTTGGAATATTCAAGTCACGTAAAAGATATTTATCGATGAATCCAAAATCTTCAGAATAATTTTTATTTTTCTACGTTGAAATTTTTAAAAATCTTCTACCAGGAAATTCTATTTCGATTGAGTGGACTACTTTTTTACCGCGTACGTGGAAAATGGTGGGGGTAACAGCTGCGCAGAAACATACGGAGGCACCGTGTTAGCACGTAGGTCAAGTTACGATACTCTGCGCGCATTCAGTTCGCGGGGAGCGCTCGTGCAGTGCGCGTTGTTGTCCCGTGTTCCTCTAGATGGTTGATCACGTGGGAAACATTGCGCCGAGTTTTCGCGATTCCGTGGCGGAGAAGGGCCGAGGGAAAGGGAATAAATGTGTGCGAGTCCGTAATGGACAACCCTAGCGGCGGAAGAGATAGTCGGTACGCAAGTCTTGGATACAGCATGGGGATGATAGGCAGCGACGCTGGCTCGGAAATGTACGGCCGACCGTCCACCTCCCAACTTACAACTTCTCAAATAAGCCGCGGTGGCGCCACCATGATGGCCGCGGCAGCCGCTGCAGGCGCACCGAACGCCGGCGTGGGATCTGTACAAAGGGGTATCAAGAGGACCACTTCGGACGTCTGTTACGATGACAGCAATGCACGGCAGGCTCTTTCGCAACAACAAGGCATGTCAATGTCTACTGATTGTGTTCCTGATAATCTTGAGGAATCATTTACAAGTTTGGGTCAACCGAAAAAATCACCTCCCTCAAATGGTAAAAAGACCAAAGGACGGGTCAAAATTAAAATGGAGTACATCGATAATAAATTACGAAGGTACACTACCTTCTCCAAGAGGAAAACTGGAATTATGAAGAAGGTTCGTATTCGGCTAACTTGTCAGCTTATTTTTTGTTAATGTAAACTCAGTGTATTTGATTCGTCGATAATCAATCAATTAAATTATCATTGAAATCAATTATCTTTAGTGTGATTATTAAATGTTGTATAGCCAATGTGATGTTTCAAGTGTATTTATATGAGATAAGAAAGTACATAGAACAAGCTGCAAATGAAAAGTTAGCTTTCACATGTGACGCATAAGAACAAAGAGAAACGTGTACTATCGATGTGTGATTGCGTGGATTGCGCAAATCAAACATATGCCGATGACTTTTGCGAGCGCGCGATTTATGAGTGACAATTGTGCTTTCGCTATCGTGCATTTGTATATCAATAATGTATTTGTGTATTTTGGATTAAAATACACTGAAAAAAACAATGGCACGCTAATTATGTCTTTGATATTACAAAAACGAACTCGTGAGAAATTTTAATAATCATTATATGATTCCTTTTACGAATCAACTGTAATTAATTTTAGATTACTTATATTTATATAGTTATCATTTGATGTTGTATGATATATTATATTTAAAAGTTGTAATTACATGATAAAATTTTACGTTGGTTAGAAAATTATATAATTTTTCGTTCCTCTTTTGTATAAAAATTTCGTTTTCTGAATCAATTCTATGAATGATTAATGAATTATTTATAATAGATAATTTAACATTGTATTTTATATTTCAGTAATGAATTTTCTTTCACTATAAAATATCTTAATATTTATGTTCATTTAAACATTTTGTTTTCATTATTAGAATGAAATTAGAATTATTCATTTTCATATTAACAAAAATAATGCTCAAGTATAAAATAATGTTTTTTTTATTTTAAAAAAGGAAAAAGAAGAACAATTTAATTAATAAATATATAATATCAAAAATAACTTGAAATTTTTTTTCGAGATAGATTTTTTAATTTTAACGTCAATTTAATTACATTACATTTGTTTGTTTGATCAAAACGCCGGTGTTTCTAAATCCGTAGAAGAACCTAAGGCAAATTGTGCATCTTTCATACGAATATAGAAAACCAAAGATAGATTGTTCCCCTTTTCTAAAGACGGGACTCTATAATTAGCTATGTTTTGACACGAAACTGACATAACCGTTTTATAACTTCATGAGAGAAATTAAAATTTAAACGAAATTCAAAATAAACAATGGTATTATGTAACCCATAGTATAAATTTAAATGTTAAAATTTAAATTTATAAGTAATATTAAAAGAATTACATACTGCCAACAAAATTTTGATTTTTTTACTTTCAAAGGTATAAAAATATATAATTTTGAGATAAAGAAGTAAAAATTTTTTTCAATTTTAAAAATATTTGTATAACAACTCTTTCTTCAACTGTACAATATGTGTATGTCTATAATAACATGTCACAAAGATAATAATTAAATTTTTTTAAATTATCGATTGATCTTTTTATACTAATCGATCAATAAATTAAAGATAGATAATAATTGGGAAATGAATTGTATGAATATATAAATTTAGTAATGCAAATCTGATTTAAATTTTAAATACGATCAATTTAGATATGATTAGAAAAACAAAAAAATATTGAAAATAAAAATAGAATATAATTCTAATTTCATTTTTTTTTTACTTGATATGATATTTATAGATTTATAGAAGATAAATAAATTCAAAAGATACGCTTTTAATTACAAATTAAAAAAAAAAATGACTAGAAGATTATTCAGAATTTCATTGCAAGTTATAAATACTATTTATTTTTATTTTACATAATATTTTGCAGAATACTTTCTTCAACTGTAAATAAGCTGGCAATATTCTAATCTAAGTTAAATACAACGATTTCATAACTTTTCACTATGTTTATTCATCTTCGTGCCGCAGTGTTGTTCTCCCTCGAGCAGTAAGTTTCTTGTTAGCAAATTGAATTTTTACAATTTAGATTCAATTTAAATAATTACAATGTAGGTATATTTTCATGAGAATTTCAGTTTTTCCTCCTTAAAGAAAAAAAAAATGAATTCTATCCACATTATACTCGTATAAACGCTTCGGTAAACCTTGATAATTATGTTATTATAAGATATCTCTAAATATAAAAGAATCACATATGTATTTAGGTTTTTCATCGTACGTTCTTGTTTTCAATTAATATAAAAATCATGGTACTAATGATTGCGCAGGCGATTATGATTTACATAAGTGCATTTTATATCGATCAGTAAATAATAAGTGTTCGTGATACACGTCAACTATTCAAATTTATTTACATTCAATGAAAAAGTAGTAATAATAGTTTTTTTTATAAAAAGATTTGAATTTAATGAATGAATATAAGATTCATAACTGGCTTTCTGCTTAGTAGAGTAGATGTCTTGATAAATAATCACGATATATCTATCTTATATCTATCTATGTATCTTCAAATTCAGTTATTAATTCAATATTTAAAAATTTTTAATGTTTAAAACATCTTTCTAAATAACGAAATCAAAAAAAAAAAAAAGCCAAAAACAGACAGGGAACAAAGAAAAAAAATGAGAAAAAATTTAAATAAAATTAACACGATTGAAAACGAGTGGAAAAAAAAACAATCCCTGGACATCCCTAATTAATCGTTATCCTTGATTGCAGGCGTACGAGCTGTCGACACTGACAGGTACACAAGTGATGCTGTTGGTAGCAAGCGAGACCGGCCATGTGTATACGTTCGCGACGCGAAAACTGCAGCCGATGATAACGAGCGAGGCCGGGAAAGCGTTGATCCAGACTTGCCTGAACAGCCCGGACCCGCCCGCCTCCGGTTCCTCCGGTGACCAGAGGATGTCCGCGACCGGGTTTGAGGAGACAGAATTGACCTACAACATAGCCGACGACGAGCAGAAAGTAAGGCAACTGGTGTATGGCTCGCCGCACGGTGGCTCGCTGCACGGCGGATATCCTGGTGGCGGGCCGACCGGAGGTCCTCCTGGCCATCCGCCACCCCCGCCGCCGCCACCGCCGCCGGGTTCGCAGCACGCGCCACCCTCGCACGCGCAGCACGCGCACCTGATTGCGCATGCACACGCGGGCTCGCCGAGCTCGCACCTGGTACCCTGTTCCAGTCCTGGGCCCATGCTGGCCGGTGGCCCCTATCAACAATCCTGCCCCTCGCCTCTGCCACCCCATCACGCCGCCTACCATCCTCACATGTCGCACTCGCATCCTCAACGGTAGTACTATCCACCTTGAACCTGCGCTCGCTCGTCCTCCGATCGTACTCGCGTATCCGACGCGTCCCTTCGCCTCGAACATCAAACGTTCGAGTTGTGCATTCCTTGACGTGTTTCATGATCACTCTCGAGGAATATTGAAATATTGGGGAGAAGAAGATAGAGAAAGAGGAAGCGTCGGAACGCGAGCGTCTAACGTGTCCGTGGATATCGGTGGTGAAAAGAGATGCTCGATAAGAGTTCCGGTGGAAAGCTGGAGAACTACCGGTTCCGTGACGGCGGCATAACCGCAATTATCCGCGTATCCTTATCGAGACCCTGTCGTTGACTGTCGACGATCGGCCGACAGTTTCGCTCCCCGTTCTTACCAACGTTCACGATACGTGTGTTCTCTGAGATACGCGGGTGACTCTTCGAAATAGGTAGATTTTGGATAACGAGTTGTTGTACGTGTTTTAAATATATACACGTTTCAAGATTATTCTTATTCTTTCCCGTGTAGACGGCTCTTACGGTTTCGCAGGATAGAGTTTCACGCAGGCCTCCATAGGGGAACATAATTGTTCTAGCGAGATTTCATTAGCAAGAACCGGTGGAAAGAGTACAACTACGGTTTTTCTTTTCGACCATTTTTGTTTCAACTTTGTAAGAATGAGTGCTAGGTTTCCGAAGCTTCTCTTCTGTTTCCTGGTTATTTTTCACACCGTCGAAGGGCTCCTCGAACAGACGCTCTCCTTGGCGTCGGTGCAATTCCGTCCATGCCGCGTTCACTTAGCTGTGTGGGAACGTGTTAAATTTTTTTTTTTTTTTCCTTTCTTCTTCTTCTTTGGTGCTGATCATTCCCAAGGCAAGTTTCGAAGAATAGGCGCATTATCATTACGAAGGATTTACGATACTTTGATGCCTCGTTATCGGGAACGTGTCGTACAGTCGGCGTAAAATCGTGTGCCGCGTGCAAGCTGAATAACGAATCAGCGCGGCGGAGGAAGTTCCGGACGACATCCGACTTTCTTTTCCGGACGATGAATATCGAAATTCTCGATGAGGCGCGCATCACATCCGGTGTCAATGAAAGTACGGTTATATTTTCTTTTTGTACGTGCATACGTAGGGAGGGTAGTAGTAGTAGCATCTCATACGATATTCGCTTACGATATTCGCTACAATCCTAGGGCTGGATTACATTTCTTCCTACTGTTTGTAACAGCGTTCGATTATGCGTTATTGAAAAATTCCATTTTTGTACGATATATAGTATATATTTAATTTAATTAACCGATTAAAAAAATTGTTAATTATTTTCTAACCGAGAAAATTGTCGTAAAATTTAACATATTTATCGGTGGTCGTTTCATAAATCTTTTCTTCCATCCAAATAAATTATCGCGTCATACTGATGGAATCGTCGGTTTTCAACATACAAGCTTGATACGTCGCTTATTATAAAGCCATTTGCATAATTTCCTGCCGTATCTGAATTAATTTATCGATATCGTTCCCGTCGTCGACAAATCAACTTCACGGATACATCGATACGTCGAAGGCTTATGAAACGACCGTGTGGAGAATGCTAACAGCGAGAAAATAGCTCGCATAATTGCGTGCCAGGTGCACTAAAAAGATTTAACCAAATCAGTCGACGAGGTAAAATCGAGGCTACTTATGGTAAACGTGCGCGCGCGCGTAAGCACACTCGGAGATCCTAGTACAGTTGTTAACGACAATCAGAACGATGTTTTGCCACGGCTGGCTCGTTGGGAAGAGTTTCAAGCAATTAACTCTTCTTTCGACTTGGTATCGCGAGTAGAAGGTTTCTACGGACACCTGTCATCCTCGGGATACGGTCGAGCAGTACTTAACATAGCAGGTTTTTGGTACTTAATATGCTTAAGAACGATTATTTCAATTATATTACTTTCGTTATTCCACGATATTAATAATAAATGTGTTATGGATAGGCTCAGGGAGCGGTTTTCTTTTTTTTTTTTTTTTTTTTTTTTTTTGTACGATAGAAAAATTCGACGGCAATGTAATCTTGGGAATTGATCGTGATCAAGCGACGCTCGTGGTTAGTCGAGGCGTGTGATGATGTTTTCAATGAAAACCGATTGGAGCGCAAGAAAACGTACGGTGCTCCGTTTCCAACGTATAAATCTAGTCCAGTCGACGCGTACTATAAATGTATACGAGATTTATGTCCACAATGTTCTATCTTGGTGAACATTGACGAGAAGATGATCGATATTTTTTTTCTCTCTTTCTCTCTCTCTCTTAACCGTTCGATCGTCAAAACGATCGAACATCTTAGCTTTTGATAATTGAAGGAACAATTGAAATCGTAAAATTTATAATATTATATATTGTTATAAGAATTTAGTTTGTAATTAATAACAGATTAAGATATGTGTGTAAGCACGAATTTTATTTTTTTTTTTTTGTTTTATTTAAAATTACCGGTGGAATTTTATTAGAAAGAAATTTTAATTAGTATCGGATTGGTTGAATTTAACGCGAACTTCTGTTGTTATTTGAACGAGAAATGATAGATGTTTGAGTCACTTTTGTCATATGAACTCCAGCTATACGAATTATTTGTTCCTCGATGGATTCGGATAAATAATGTAGTTGCTTTTCAACGTATCAAAATTTTAAATCGTATTTCTTGTCTCATTTTATTGCTCGTGACATGAAAGCGAGGATAATTACAAAAATATATATATATATATATTAGGAAATTCAGAAAATTTAGAAGAATTTAATGGCTAGATCTATACGTTAATCGAAGTCCAAAGACTTTTCTACGGTACGTACTCGTTCAAGTCGTACATCTTCGCGAAACGAACGAAACTCACAAGAAGACACGTATCTACAGGAATTTTTCGTTTATCGAAGAACGAGAAAAAGAGAGGCAGATGATTTTTAATCGTGCATTTAGGATAATAACTCATGTGATGAATTACTCGAGGAGCCGTGTATTTTATACATACATGTATATTCTGTCTTCGTATCTGTCCCGTTTTCTTCTTTAATCGTATTTATAATTAGTTTATTACGATGATATCTCTCTTAATTTATTTAAAGATCTGTAAATACGTTGTAAGTACGATCCATCTATCTCTCGCCGAGCCAACAAGATTCAAATGGAACTGTGGCAAACCGTGTTCGAAAAATACAAAAAAAAAAAAAATAATAATAATAATAAATTTCGATCTTTCGTATTTACGAGTCTTGTCTTCAAAATAATTAAAGAATAGAAATCCAGAAAATGAAAAACAAAAATCGAAGATTCAGATAACGAAAGCAGCAATTCTTCTCGATTTTCCAGAAGAAAAGAAATTTAATCCTTGTTTAACGATAAACAATCTTTGCGAAATTGCTTATATCTCACGATTGAAACTGAAGGGTGGCGTTTCCTTTACGAACCCTCGAACTTCCCCCCTTCACCAATTTTCAGAAAAACGATCATTCGAGAAAGCGAATCCAATTAACGTTCCACCTGGTTTCCTTCAGTTCCGAATCGCTCGTGTGTATACTTCTTTACATGTAATGCAACAAACCACCTTACGTACCCAGTTCGTGGGATTGGCGAGGCCGGAATCAAGGAAATATCAAATTCGTCCATATACACATTCCCCTTTCTTCTTTTCTTCCCATCAAAGATCCTTATCGAGGAGTGGCATCAATTTTTTAAAATACTCATGTCGTTCGGGTCGAGGCGTTTCGCCTTTTCCTGGTGAACGAAAAAGAGAACAAAAAAAAAAAAGGAAAGAAAGAAAGAAAAAAAGGCCAACGAAGAAACGCGAGAAATCGTAGTACGTGGGTGCGAGTCCGAGCCAGTAGACCCGGCGGTGCACGCTTGGCATTATTGCGCATTGAATATACATATATATGTATATACACACACGCATATATATATATATATGTATATACATATATACATCGTACATATACGTGTATATATATATACATACTGTTGTGTGCATCGTACATTGTTCCGTAATGTGTTTGTACTGAAAGTGGCATGTGTAGTATTTGTTTGTTTGTTTGTTTTTTTTTTTTTCCTCTCTTTCGTAGATTAAGTAGCTAGTATTTAAAATACCTTTTTAATTTAAATTCCCAGGCGAATCCCACCTGCCCTCCCCCGTCCCACTTCTCGTTTCTTCATCAAGTAGAGAGAAAAACCTCGATTCTCGTCCATTTTCACACATTATGCATGCTTACGTGTGTATGTGTTGTGTGTTGTTTTCTCTTCTTTTTTTTTCTGTTTTTTTTTTTTTTTTTTTCCCGTATCGCTTGAAATATTTGAAGAAAAGAAAAGAGCAGGTACATATATATATATAAAGAATACATAGAAAAATATAAAACAGAAGTAGATGGAAATGTTACGTGGATGAAAGATATAGAAACGAGACGAAATATACGAAAAATCACGCGAGAGTTTAAAATTAACGGGAGATTGAGGAGGGGAGGGGAAGAAAAAAAGAAAAATAGAAGAAAAAAGAAAAATATCCGATGGAAAAAAAAAATAAGAAAAAGAATGTAATTTTATCCGTGGTCTCTCTCGTCGACGCACAAAGTACAAATAATATATAATATAATTAATTTTACGATTATGATATTATCCTGAATTACACACGGTAATCACGAATGTACGGGCTGGCGTGCCTTTTAGTTTTATGTATCACATATGTGTAAATAGTATACTGTAAAATACTGTGATAATATTTATATTACACGTACGTATTATATTGTTTCGATTAATGATAATTATGGTCCCAAGATGACAAAATGTTTCGTCGAACGATACAGTTAGCCGATGTACACGTATACACACACGAATAACACACGAATACGCCAACAATAATTGGGCACGGGGGGTGCCAGTTGTTCGCGAAAGACAGGTAGGTATAATAATAATGATATTAAAAAAAAAAAAAAAAAAAAAGAAAAGAAAAAGAAAAAAAATACCACCTGTTTTTTGGTAGAAATACCAGATTCAGATTACGCTCCCTTTTCTCTTCGATTGATCAAATTCGTACCTTTTATATTCTATCCATTATGGTATATATCACTATGTTGATAACGACGATGATGAAGAAATGTAATAAGACGAAAAAGAAAGGAATTTGTGCGATTGGGTAATAGTTTCGCATGAAACGGTAAACTAGTTGCGTTGAGATGATTAGAAAGAAACTGGCCTCCATCGAGGAAGGTATTGAAACAGTACGATCGAAGAACTTTTAACTCGAACGGTCTCTCTTGCGGTTGATGATATTGTTATCGAAAAGAGGAGAAAAATTTTAAAAATTGTTTCTTCCTGCTAATTATAATACGTTGAATTTTGTTGTTGATTTATCGATGAGATGATTTTTTAATTTTCGTCTGTGCGTGAGCGTACTTCTCGCGTAGTTTAGTATAAAATTGCTAGATTGAATTGTTGTCTAATATGGTTGAAAAAATTCTTCATTGTTTTGTAAATAATAACGTGGAAACGGCGGTAGTATTGTTCGAAAATAGATAAAAAACTTGTTACTTTTTAATTAAGATGATTTTTTTTCTCTCTCTAAAGAAATTAACGTGAATCATATCATTACTGTAATTGACGAAAATGTTCACAAAACTTGGTGCAATGGTTATTCGTTAATGCGATAAGTAATAAACAAAAAAAAAAAAAAACAAAAAAAAAAAGAAAAATAATTATGTTAAGGATTAAAAAACCACGAGTTGCGTTCGATTATACGAGATTAAATAATAATTCTATTAACGCTGCGATCATTATTGTAAAAAAAAAAAATATTCCGATCTGCTTGAAAATAAGACTCCGATCAACAGCATTCCATTTTGCCATTCATCCTTTCAGCATAACTTAAAAGGTAGGTTTGCATCTCGATATGCGCGGAATTCATTTACAAATTTAAAGATTCTTTTTTTCAAAAGCAACATGTCTTGAACTTTTCTATTTAAGCATCGCTTTAATTCTTTCAGACGTAAACCAATCAATTCTGTGATTCTTATTTTCCCTTAAAACTTATTCCCCTTGCAAAATGCATCTTTTCATCTTTGATCGACACGAATCTTCGTTTCTTCGTTTACACGCGAATAAAATTATAAACATCCTTAAATCGTAATAAGAATAAATCTGAAAGAGTTAAAAAAAAAAAAAACCTACATTTCTCCAAGCTTAAAAGAACAAAGGTGAAATGAAAAAAGAAAATAAGAAGAAATCAAGAAGAAAAAACCCCTTAAGATAAGTATCCCTAGGACGCACCACCCCATTGGTACACATCTACGAAAAAAAGAAACCGCGGCAAAATCCACCATTAATAAAAATAACGAAAAGAAAAACAATTGAAATCTCCCTTCTCCCTATCGTATACAGAGAACGTTTTGCGGCGGGGGTTCGTAGGCCACGATTTACGATCTAACGACTTAACGATTATGATGCATTTCGCTAAGAGGGCACCCTGGTGAATCGCGGCCGCTCGGAGGAAAACGGCGAAGAACAACGGCGAATGGGTGGCTGGCAGGGCGAAAGAGAGAAGGGCGGTAAACAGGTGGGGAGGAAATCGTAGGGAAGGGAAGAGAAAAAGAAGGCGGGGGAAGAGAGAGAGAGAGAGAGAGAGAGCTAGAAGAGGAGAAAAGAAGAGAAGAGAGAAGGTATGGAAGGTGGAAGCAGAATACCATATACGGTCACCTTTGTCAAAGGCTGGTTGTCGCCATATACAGGCAATGTTCGCGATGGCAGATACTTATATAGAGTCCAACTTAAGAATCAGGAATGCCGGTTTTTGTCGCGCCTTCTATACACACCCGTGGTAATGGGGGGTACAAATACGACTCGGAAGTGATCGCCGACAGAACGGCTCGCTGCACGCGGACAAGGGGTCGCGAGACCAGCCCTCTCCTCCGTATGGCTTTCGGAAATCCTTCATGGAAACCAACCGTGGTGACCGGCCTTCAGATTCGAGAGCTTGCGCGAGTCGATCAAAGATTGTAATGTAGTAGAACCGCAAGTAGAAGCTGCGCAAATAATTTCCGTGTTGCATGGGTGAAAGGTATAGTTTATCGAAGCGATCTTTCGAAGTTCTAGTTTCGACTTTTTGCGTGGGTGTATTATATATTAGTTTTGGAGTTAATTAAAAGGATAACGTTGCGTTGGCGTGATACGGTTGAAGTATTCGGTATTCGATGACCAAATGGATTCGATTTAGGCTAATTTTGGAATTTCGTCGGAATCTAAAAAAGAGATTTCAGATTTTTTTTTTTTTTTTTTTTCCTTAGAATATCTTTCACAGTTTTCTTTTCAATATCATCATGTTTTGGAATCGCATTTCGTTAATTGCAAGTGGTGAAGGATATACCTTTCAGCACACGGATATATAATTGAAGTCTTTGGTGAATGACTGGTTCGAAAGTAGAGCAGTCTAATTAATTGACTTGGTTTCAACTATTTTTGGAATGTTGAACCCTTACAGTGCGCCGGAGATCCCTTTCCTTGCTCTTTATTCTTCCGAGGCTAAAGGACGTTTCATTTTTTCGATCGCACGTTTCTCGGAAACCTCTATTTCTTTCGTGTTCGGTTTTCTTTTATAAAACATCGGACGTGATCGAATTCCTCGATCAGTTACCGATTCGAAAGCGAAGTAATTTAATTGACAATCTCCAACTATTTTTGGAATTTTATGTCTTTGAATTTAAACATCGCTATTATCTGACCGTTCAAATTATTTAATACGTTCAAACGGAGAGTACGATTAAATTTTTTCTTCTTCTTTTTTTTTTATATAGAAGATACCATGTAGGTTCACGATTGCCTCCTCATTGCGATTAACCAAAAAAGAAATTCATCTGATTAACAGTAAATTCTATGACGAAACCACCAATGAAAACTTCGATTCCCCTTATTACAATAGAAGATTATAATAATAATTCCATTTGTTCGACGACACAATTCACGAGTTCACCGGCTCTTCGATCATTGACTCGCGATCAACCTACAATTAATAATAATAAAACTCCATTTTGTCCGACTCTATCGGCAGCCGATTCACTTGTTCCAAAGCGCGGTCGAAATTAATCAAAATAAAAACAAACGAATTCGTATTACGCAGAAAAACAAATTTCCTCCTCCACTATCCCGTGCGAATGGCCGGCCAAATCTAAATCGTTTTTCCCCCCGTCAAAAGACGATTCGCGCTTCCTAATTCTCCGGCACAGAAGCGGCTTACACGTACGCTCGATTTGCTTTCTCTCGACCGGCGGTCGACATGTGTACGCGCGCATATATATCCTGGCCAACGATTCGCATGCATGTATATAAAACATGGCTAAGTTCGGTCCCCGGCACATGCGGTATGGAAGGACGTGGAAAAAAAGCTTATAGCCAGCAGCCGGTGGTGGCGGTAGGCCAGGGGAGAGAAAGTCACCCGGGGAAACCGTAGTCCTGCGTAAATTTGTGAGAATCTGCCGTGGAAGCGCGGTACGAGTTCAGACCGCGCGGATGGCCATATAAGGCGCGCGAACAAGCTCGCGCATCTCTCCCTGCTAGGTAGGTAGGTAGGTAAGTTGGTTCGTTGGTTGTTGTTTCGCTGCTTAGGCTGGTTGGTAGGCTACCGTTGATTGATTGGTTAGTTGCACGTTTGATTGGCTCGCCGATATTATTACCGAGGCGTTATCCAACGATTTACAGGCTACGAATCGGCGGTGCTCAATACCATCCTCTCCGGCTTGTTTTCTGCTTGTCGCCGCATCGCTCGTTAGGGAATTGCGCCCGGAATTTACGATACAGATCGTACGTTATTCCGATACGGTGTATCGTATCGTTTTCGTTACGATTTTTTTACGTTGTAAAATTTTCTTTGATGAGTTTGGGGGTTTGTCTGTTGCGAACGAGGGATAAGGAGGTTTCGATTCGTTTTTTTTTTTTTTTGATGTCGATTGATTATCTTCGATCGAAAGAGTTGTAGTCGTTTGTAAGAACGAAGGCGGGAGATGATTCATGAATTCATAAATTTTCTAGCAGGGCGACACGTTCCTGAGAGACTTAATGTATGCAAACAAAATTAAAATATGATTCATCTATGCTTCCATCATTTTTTTCTTTTTTCTCTTTTCCTTTCTTCTCGATTGAAATGAAGTTACCACGTAGCACGCGGTGATTGCGTCCGATGATGGGTAATTGGCGGATGATTTGAAACTTGGATGTCATTCGCTACTTTCCGCGTCGATATTATTGTACACGTTACCGTAAATAGATAAATACAATTAACAATTATTTTATGTGACGCATAAACAAAGAGATGGAAAATAATTCTTCTTCTTCGATCAAGTGGATACGCTTTTTTTATATCGACAAATTTCGTTTCACTGTTCCAGGAAGACGGCACTTCACCTAGGTCGGACGTGTGCGCGAACGAAAGCGACGGAGACACCAGTGATGGCGATTCTCCCGTGTCAAAGGATCTGTCGAAAAATCACTCGGGTAAGTTCTCTACCATACCAAAAAAAAAAAAAAAAACCTATATATAAATCCTTCTCGTTAAATTTTAGATTTTCAGAAAAAATGTTAAAGACGATTCGCGTTCGTGGTTTAAAAATAAAATGTTTTATCAACAAAAGAACGAATCGAGTATTCTTAAAATCCGCTGTCTCGATGATTGAACGTCGTCTCGTCGTTTCCTCCCTTTCGAATTTGTCGTGCTAGGACAATTTCACCTGTCCATCCGCGCTGTCCATCGTCGAAAGACAATCGTACAGCTGCGCATACGTGGCCGAGTAATTAACGAATTTCCCCGTGGCCGTAGCAAAGGAGTCGCGTACGATCGCGCGGACTAAGTAGCAACCGGTAAAAGCCGTGGCGTGGAAAATCGTTAGAGAGGCAGTTTCGAGGCAGAGGTAAACGCGCAATCCAATCAGTCAGGTAGGTCGGCATAACAGAGAAGGGGATAGACCTATACATACATATATATATATATAAAATGTATATAGAGAAAGAGATCGAGTAGGAGAAGTAGCGTGTGTACGGGCGGAGGAGAGGAGAGAAACGGTTGAAGAGAACGAGAGAATGGTATCAGAGAGGTAAAACGTGCGGTATATATGATGCGTATGCGAGCGCGTGCGAGCGAGCGAGCTAGAGCGCGGGGGAGGGAGGGAGGGGAGGGGAGGGGAGGGAGGGAGTAAGGTAGGAGGGGAGGGAAAGAGAGGGAGAAGATAAAGGAAGAGGACACTTAAAATGCGAAAAGTGTGCGAGCGATGACGAGGTTATCCGTGTAGGGGAGTACATAAGGAGTTGTACGGGCCGCGATGACCAAACTAAGACAACGACGCGCTGCCTAACTGGGAAGTAAGATCCGGTCGAAAGCCGCGCTTCGATGCAGGTGTACACATAAATATCGATGCTAATATATGGAGTGGATGCCATCCGACTTACCGATCGCCAGCATGACGTATTGTTTTTTTTTTTTTCTTTCCTCCCCCCTTCTTTTTCTTTTCGCCTTTCCATTGTTCCCCACGGCATCTCCCCGCCCGGAATTTTGATAACCGGCCGCCACGCGTTGATATCTCCGCCGCGCCGACCATCGATCTTTTATCCATCCCTCCTCCTCCTTCCTTCTTCCCGATGATCGAGATTTCGATCGATTCCTCTTGAGAGCTCTTTGTTTTGTTGCTCCTCTTCCGGCAGCTTTGAGAGAGATTTTTCTTCTTCGTTGGCCGAATTTTCTTTTTCTTTTTCCTTCGACAAAAATTGTTTGGTTAATTAGAAGAGGGGGGAGGAAAAAATTTTAAGAGATTCGTAAATGATACGTACCTTTATGCTCGGAAAAGTCTCTCTGTTAATTCTATCTCGTTTTATATTAAATAGTTGGTTGGCTTGTTGCGCCGTGTCGATCGCGTAAATGTATATTTTTAGCGATGTTTTGTACCTACGGATCGATTTAAGTAGTGAAGGAAACCCAAAAAGCAGACGGCCATGTCCGATTAATACGACGCGCACCATCTAACTTCAATTTCCTTTTATTTTAAAAGGGAATATATACGATCTGTATAATGATTCACATGATTCTTTTTGTTCACCGCTTTAACTTTTTAACAGTAAAAAGTATAAAAAATCATGCGTAATAAATCTATAAAAATTCGTTAATCCAAGAAAAACAATCGTGATTCTGTGTAGGTATAATGTACCAGATGCCACAGACAGTGATTTACTCGCCAAGTCCGGGGGTTCTACTCGGTATCGGTCAAAATGGCCAGCCGGTGCAAATATCTCAAGAAGGAGGTGAGAAACCATGATCATCCCCTGGAATCGCTTCTCTCTCTCTCTCTCTCTCTCTTCTCTTCCCCCAGAAAAAAAATAACAATAATAATATTAATAATAATAAAACACACATCTCCAAGCCACATCCTTACGATAGCCGAACGAGAACGAAATCCATCCAGATGGAAACCGACGAAACCAATCACCCGTTCTCGAGGGTGGTTGCGCTCTCGAGACGAGACGTTCTCCCCCAGAAAGACGTGCCCTCTCCTCTTTTCCTCTTTTCCGAGGTTTTTTGGCATTGTTTCACAGGCACGGTAGCCCCGGTTAATACGACGCAGAGTAATCAACAGCCGTTCATCACGATACCGTTGAACGTCGCGATGAGCGCCGCCGGATTGTCGCTTCCGGTCGCCTCCAGGATGAATCTATCGCCGTCGCCTCGATCACCGACGACCACGACAACGGCCACGTCGTCGTCCAACTGCGAGCTGCCATCGGATCTGAGCAAAGATCGTGAGTGATATATCGTGGATCGAGCCTCGATTAAGAAAAACCCTCCTCGATACCTGTCGCTCGCCGACGCACTAACTAAAAGGCTTGACCCGACGAGATTGGACGGGGGCCATCTTTTTTCCAATCCATCGTTTCGCTTCACCGAACGGGTACACGTTCGGTGACTCGTACCCGAGAACTCGAAAATCTCGAAACGTGCACTCGAGAAAGATGACGTCTTTTCGATTCGGATCGATCGATCCGACGATCGGGGCCGCGGTCAAAGAAGCGTTGCTTTGACACAAGGATCGCTCGACGAATGTTCGACGATTGATATATGGCTGCCAAATTCGATGCTCAACAAATGATGGCAAACGAGGCCATCGAACTTTTCATACGAACGTTGTTGCGCAGTTAAAATTTTGAGGCGAGGGTTTGATACGATATTCGATATTGCTTAGAATTTTCTTGGATCCGTGAGCCGTGTCCAACGGGAATTTTATTAGCAATGTAACTTATTTCTTCGTGGATCGAGTGATATCATTTGTGTGTCATTTGACCTCTCCCCTCCCGAAGAAATTATTTATAATGTTGACGAAAAATTTCTATTGGACGCGATTAATGTTACGCATTCTATGGATATAATACACGAGTTAATGTTCTTTTTTCTTTTTTTTTTTTTTAGTAGATAAATAATAAATAATTTGATCTTTGATCAGACACGCATGAATTTGTTGTCATTTTAAAGAAAATACAAATTTTATTTACGGTAATATCGTGGTAACATTGTTTCAACTTTGTGCGAAATGCAAATATTTCTTCAAAATTATTATAATTTAAAAAGATAAATCTAAAAGCGTTGATTTATATTAAATAAAAATATCGATTAATTAAACAAAATTTATCGATACAAATGCAATCTTAAAAATTACCTTGTCAATATTTTTTTGTATTTTCAGTAAAAAAATAACTTTTGCATAACATTATATAGAAAAATCGAAACTTCTTTACATTCATCGTAATGTTCATTGTTCCAGCGTTTTCGCGATCATGGTTTGAAAAGAACATTTTCCGCGGTATTACCGATATTCTTATTGCTAATATTTGTTTATTATCGTACGATTTTATCGAAAATCGCGAATATTATCGAGATCCTCTTTTGCACTCGCGATAACCGACGGCAATGCGTTTCGACGCGAAGAATCTCGCCGTCATTCGAGATCTTTGATGATGTTAAAGGTTTCATAAACGAGAATTAAAAATCTTATCAATCTTTATTTTCTTCTAGAGTAATAAAAGAATATATAGTATTCTCTACAACATATATTTACATGAATATTATCCGTAGATATCTAATAAGATCATAGAATTGTGATCGTACTCGTGATTAAAATTGGCAATTTTTATTATGAGCTTCTTAATTTTTATCAATGGTATCAAGAAAATCGTACGTTAAAAATATCTTTATTAATCGAGTGCAAAGGTGGAGATTTTTGCGGATTTTTTCCTACGTACGATTTTATACCTATTGTGTAAATTAAAATTAATTCGAGATAGGTTGTGGTATGGAAATAATAATCAATGCGAATTGGTATATATATTTTTCATTAATGCCGGCCTTCGTTTGGCCGGCATTTAATCGATACTGGTGCAATACTAGTCGAACGTTCTGTCCGATAATTGTTCCACGAAATAACTGTTTGTACTTTCCTCGTAGAATTCACCCTTTTTCGAGATATTCAGCGTTTCGTTAATTGTTAATAAGATGGTTCGTGAAAGGGATCGATATTTTTTCAACGTTAAACGTAACACATAAAATGTAGAGTCGTTTAGAGATTGGCGAATGGGTCGTGTTCGAGCGCACAATTGTTAAATTGAACGATGGTAATATGGGAATGAATTAAAGCAACGATGAAAGATCGAAAAATTTTTGCGGTGATATATTTTATACGCGCGTCAACGATCCGAAATTTTGTATTCTTCGAAATGTGTTGAATAATTCAATACATGATATCGTTTCGAACTCCAGTTTCGATCATAAAAAAAAATCATTCGACACAAATTTTTCAGACAAAATCTCACAATTGTAAAAGAACAACTTTGAATAAAAGAAACAATTGATTAATTAACAAATTGGTGAAAAAATTCTTTTCGATAACATAATAAATATTTACTACGAAAAAAAATATCTAATT